TTTTATATCTTATTTCTCCTCTGCAGCTAGCTAGCACAGCACACCACTGCTTCAACCTCAGTTCGTTAATTTCCTTGCGAAATGACAATCATCAGTGCGCCGGTATCCATTTTCTTTTGAACTCCTTCACATGCATTTTATATATATATATATATATATATATATATATTATTCATGCATCATGCATACTTGGTTATTAGCAATGCTTCTTATTAGAAAGTTCGAGTAAGATTTAAATGTGAAGCTTCATTTATCATTACTAAATCTTCTTGATGAATAATAACATCTAGAAGGATGATGGAATTGTAAGTGGAGGCAGAAGAAACTCAACACTAATTTGTGCTTCAACCACCGCGGACTCAGTGGAAGAAATGTTGTTTGAGATGGCCAAGGCAAAAGAATTGGGTGCTGACCTTGTAGAGGCTCGTTTGGACTTCTTGAAGGACTTTCATCCCATTCAACATCTTCACATTCTAATCAATAACCGTCCTTTGCCCATTTTAATCACTTACAGGTATTATATGTTGAATATGGTGTGGCAAATTTATGTGTGGCAAATTTAGTCCCACATCGAATAAGTTTTTTTTGATGTGGCCAAATTAGTCCCACATTGGATAGGTTTGGGAATGTGTAGTGCCTTAGGTTCTATATATAGAAACCCTTCCCTTCACTTTGAAATCATCCCAACTACAAGTTCATTTGTAACTTCTAAGGCTTGTAGTTTTCTCTTCTCTCTCTATTGTAATATTTCTTAGTGAAATATATTTGGTAGTGTCCGAGGAAGTAGGCATAATTGGCTGAACCTCGTTAAATTCTTGGTGTTCTTTCTTTCTTGTTTTGCTTTTGGTTTAAAATTTGCTAGACGTTTCCGCAACACTAATCTGTACATGTTAACTAGATAATGAAATCGCTTATCATCAAATGCAAACCCGAGGCCTCACATCGGGAAGCGCCGCATGAAAAGTCAGCAAATACTCGAGAAAACGAACGGCAAAACGCGCCCAAGCTTACCGTCCGAGTGCCAAGTCCTTTCCCCTACGAAAGCGACAAGGCAGTACCATGGGTTTATGATGTGCAAAGCTTGCCGTCGTTAGAATCATCGAATATCACCGGGATTGGAGGAATGACTAGAAGTGGACGTGTTTATACCCCCAAGGACTTAGGAAACAAATCCCCGAAAGGAAAGGACAAAGAAGAAGGAAGGACGGAGTACGATAAAGAAGATGAATTTCTTCAGTTCATTCGACAAAGTGAATACTCCATCCTTGATCAGCTTAACCATACCCCCGCAAAAATCAGTTTGCTTTCGTTAATCATGAGCTCTGAACCACATTGAAAGGCTCTGCTGAAAGTTTTGAATGAGGCCTATGTGGCACACCACATATCCCAAGACAAGTTTGAAGGGATCGTGAGTCACCTCACGGCTAACGATCATTTAACCTTCACCGATGATGAGATACCCAATGGTCGGCGCAACCACAATAAACCCTTGCATATATCCGTAAAGTGCAAGGATTTTCTCATCGCCAAAGTCTTGGTAGATAACGGGTCTTCGCTGAATGTGTTGCCTAAAGGCACCTTTGACAAGCTAATGGTTGGAGAAGCTCAGATGCGACCAAGTAATATGATCGTTCGAGCTTTCGACGGATCTCGAAGAGAAGTAATGGGAGAGGTTGTCCTACCCATTCAAGTAGGGCCCACAGTTTTCAACGTAGAATTCCAAGTAATGGATATTATATACATCCAATATATATGTTTTTAATTCATTAATCTATGCATTTGATGATAGAAATATAAATTTCAGACCAATATGGGAAGGAGGAGAGTACGAGGGTGATGAAAACAAGCGACAAGAAGCTCTACGTCTAGCCATTGAATTGGGGTCTGAGTTTGTTGATGTTGAGCTAAAGGTAAATTTAAGTAACACTGACATGTATATCCGTTTACCTACCATGCAAAATATAATAAATAAAGTATTGTACTTGTATAAATTAAAGCTGCTATATACGTGTTTTGTGTATGGAAGGTAGCTCGTGATTTTTACAATTCCATTGGAGGGAAGAAACCTGTGAATGTGAAGATGATTGTGTCTTCACACAACTTGGAAAATACTCCATCTGTGGAGGAAATTGGTAACCTTGCTGCAACAATTCAAGCTTCAGGGGCAGATGTGGTGAAGATTGTAACAACTGCTTTAGACATCACAGATTGTGCACGTCTTTTCCAAGTCCTAGTGCATTCTCAGGTAATTAATAATTCACGTGTTCTTATCATAAATGAACATCAAATGCATAAGTGCACTTGGTAATTAATTATTGAATAAATGTAGGTCCCAATGATAGGAATTGCAATGGGTGAGAAGGGATTTATGTCTCGGGTACTATGCGCAAAATTTGGAGGATTTCTCACGTTTGGTTCAATTGAGGGTGCTCCTGGGCAACCAAGTATCACTGAATTGTTGGATTTGTACAATTTTAGACATATTGGGGTTGCCACCAAAGTACATGGTGTTATAGGCAAACCTATTAGTCATAGCAAAAGTCCTCATCTTTATAATGCAGCCTTCAAGTCTGTGGGATTTGATGGGGTTTACTTGCCTTTGTTGGTCGATAATGTCTCTGATTTTCTTAACACTTGCTCATCTCCTGATTTTGTTGGCTACAGGTATCATAACATCTTCCTAGAATCTTCCATTCTATAACATATAACATATAGTTGAATTGAAGGTCCTCCAGTTTTTCTATATTTTTCTGTGTTAACCTATGAGTATTTTTAAGAGTAAATTACATAATCACCTCTTAGGGAGATTGTATAATCAACTCTTAATTGTTTAATTAATCCAACACTTATTCATAATATTAGCTCCTTAATTATTTGATTATATCTTGACTATCGTAAGGAAGATATTATTGAATGTTAAAAAAGTAAGATGTGTAAATCCAATTTCACGAAATCTGTGTCGAGGTAATTTGCTTTATTCTAATAGACTTCAGGCACGTAATATTGTGATCTATGGTTAATTTTATGGAATCCTGCAGTTACAAAAAGTTTAACAGGACAACATTGTGTGTGTGTGTGTGAAAAGTGCCATGATTGCTTGAAGTAATTCTTATTTCTTTAACAAAACCAGTTACACGATTCCTCACAAGTTGGATGGACTTAGATGTTGTGATGAGGTGGACCCTATTGCAAAGGTATTTTAGCTTTTAAAACTCTGTCTCCCATCTTAATTAATTTTCTGTCATTTGAACATAATTTAGCTTCCTAATGAAATGATGTTATCAGGCAATAGGAGCTATTAGTTGCATGATTAAGAGGCCAAATGATGGAAAACTAATAGGCTATAATGTTGATTATCTTGGAGCCATTGCAGCTATTGAGGAACAACTAAAAGGTTTGTGTGTTTCTTTGCAGCAATTGAGGAAGGACTATGAGGTTTTGAATATTTAGTTATAGCTTTGCTTACAACTGTTTGCATTGCAGATTCCATATCTGGTTCACGTTCACCTTTGTATGGTAAACTGTTTGTGGTTATGGGAGCTGGTGGAGCAGGAAAGGCATTAGCTTACGGTGGAAAAGAAAAAGGGGCAAGAATAGTTGTTGCCAATCGTACATATGGTGAGAAAATGTTGTTAGTTTAGTTTGTTGATGAATTACTTGATGGGTTTTTGAATTTTCATTTTTTGAGATATATTTTTTATGAGAATTATCTTTTGTTTGTGGAGTATTCATATATACATTGTCGAGTAGTCTTTGTTGATTGTTGCACTTAAAAGAGAAGTATTTTTTTTTTTTTACAACATTAATGAGGACAAAGAGTGTGATATTTTTTTTTTTGACTATGATCAGCCAAAGCCAAAGAACTTGCGAGTAAAGTGGGAGGAAAGACTATTCCTCTATCTGAATTAGAGAAGTTCCACCCAGAAGAAGGAATGATACTCGCAAATGCTACATCCGTTGGAATGAAACCGAATATTGACGACACACCCATACCAAAGGTTTGATGTAGCATATTTTGATATTACCAAACGATCTATAAATGGTGTATTTGCAATTGAGTAACAATAAACTCCTATGACATGTTTTATCATTCATTTTTGGAGTTTGGTGGGTACGTTCATAATGTCAATGTAAAAATATTTATAACATATTTCATTAAAACCCATGAAATATGATGGAGATCCGAACTTAGTTTCTGTGGTATTGATCATCTAAATTATATATGCAGGTAGCACTGAAACACTACTCGTTGGTGTTTGATGCGGTTTACACACCGAAATTGACAAGACTCCTTCGAGAATCACAAGAAGCTGGAGCTGCCATAGTCTATGGTACAGAAATGTTCATCAATCAAGCATTCGTCCAGTTTGAAAGGTTCACAAAGTTGCCAGGTTAGTTACTAGTTAGACAATTAATAATATATATAGCATCGTATAATTAATATTCAATTTTCATACTTATGGTTATGAATTCACTTCAAATTGTGTGTCACAGCACCAAAGCAACTCATGAGGGATGTGCTGGCAAGAAATACATGAGAATATATAAGTTCTGGTCACGAAGCTTCTCTTTAGTTTTATTTAGTGTTTCTATCTGGATATTCAGAAATCACAAGACATATATTAATGTTAATGTATCCAAGGCATTATCGGCTTTCACTTTTCTATGTTCTCACGGTTTTATTTTTTAAGGGAGAAGATATTTATAAACTTATTAGCCTTATTTTTCATCCCATATGAGACTTTTAGTGAGATGAAACGTGCATAAATTTAAGCAACTTACTTGTCCACCATCAAATTTCATGTCTGGTGGAAGACTTCCTCTTTTTCATATGCTGGGGTGGCATAAAAAATTTTAAAACAGATGGGTAGACACTTATAGAAAAAGATAGAAGAAAAATAATATATAAATAGGTGATGTGATATAATAAAAGAAAAGAATTTAAAATGAACGATGAATATTAACGAAGTGAATGTAGTGGAGGGGTATTCATATTTTAATACTCAACAAAATTATATAAAGAAAAAGAATCAGAAAACTCAAACAATGAGGTTAATATTTTTTTTTTCTTACCATGCACTAAAGGGTGTAAAGTGTAAAATAGGTATGTTTTGACTTTTTTGTATGGGGGGGGATGATAAGGAGGTTTTGAATCATTATTATTTAGTTATTAATCTTTATTATATTTTATATATAAGTATATTTATTATTACCAGTTTAATTATGATTTAATTGCAATTAGATCAAGGAATTTTTTTTTAGAGAAAGATAAAGGAATTATGAACTGGTATTATTACTGTTTCAATAATTTGTCAACTTTTAAAAAGAATTTATTTTAATTGTATTAAAAAAAGCATATTCAGAACGTTTTGATTGTCAGCTCATGTTTAGAAAGAAAATAAAAAGAATATTAAAAAGAAAAAAGGTTTAAGAAGAGCACCAAACCAAATTCTCTCAATAATTGTAACAAAAACAATGTGAAACCAAAAGAAAATCTCACAATAGAATACCATTTGTAAATTCTCAATAAAAAATCACAAACATTCAGTTTGTAAAATCTCGTTCATTGGATCGTTATTTTTAGAGAAAATAACACTTAACTCACTTGAATTAAATTCCTTTTAAAACAAACAAATTAAACTTTAATTTTACCTTAATTAATTTTAAAATTTTATCCTTTTTTAATAAAAAAATTCTAAATTTCCTGTCTAAAAAACAAACAACATAAATTTTAATTTTGTTTCAAGATCCTTACACTCTATCTCCTTATACATAAAAATCTTTATTTCAATTTCATGTAAATCGACCCTTACAATTGAATCTCTCCTCTCTCTCTCTCTTTTTTTATTATTATTTTTATTATTTTTTATTTATTTTATTTATTTTTAATTTTATTTATTTATTTTTTTATTATAAATAATCACTTATATTAAATTGATGTTAAACGATGAAATATCAATCAATGTTTATTTTATTTCTCAGTCATTTATAAGTTTTAATTTTGTAAACTATTTTTCTATATGTTGAAATCTAATATTTTTTAAATTAAATTAATTAAATAAATACTTGTTAAATGATTTTTATTATTTTTTTTATCCTTCCTGCATGAATGTTACGGATTGAATTAGTTTAAATATAATAAAAAAAAATGAAATCTGAGTCAATTAATTTTAATTAACTCAACCTAATTCAAATTTAAATTGTTTTTCTCTACCTCGAACTAAACCAACTCAATATTAATAATAAGTTAGTTCAGTTTTTATCATTTGATATTTAATAAAAAAAAACTTTTTAAAAATATAAACAAACATTATTTAATCTCAAAATTATCAAATAATATTGTTATAAAAGAATTAAAAAAATACATATTTGAGTGTAATTAAATTACACTAACTAAATAATAATATAAATTACTAAAAAATGCATAAATAGTTAACTAAATCATAATTGTCTCTTCTATAATAGGAAATAAAAAATCTAACAAAAAAATATTCTATACAAACTTAAGTATTTAGATGTAATCTATTGGCTTGTTTGGTAGAGAATAAATAAGTAAAAAATAAGATGGAGAGAATGAAAATAAAAAAGTAAAAATAAGAGAGATTGTTTGGTTGAGAAAAAATAGAGTGAATAGAAATTAAAAAATAGTGAATCTCATCTTCTTATTTTATTTATTTATTGATTTCTCTCTCATCTTATATATATATATATATATATATA